CCGACTCGGATGATCGGAGAGCCGGAGTTCTCCTCCGACGTTTGCTCTCCGATGCCCCCCTTCTTCCAGTTTACTTCTAGCGTCTAGTGCTTGGCTCGGCGGTCTTCGGGTACCTCATGTGATCTCTCCATATCTGCCTCGCAATGTCGAGTCGGGAGCTCCTAACTCTGCACATACCCCTGTTGAATAGGTGGCACTGGTTTGGTGCCCTCACCGGCGGAGTCATCGGTTGTGACCGGAAAATTACTGTCACGTACAATGTTGATGGGCCTCACTATGCTCTTGACGTCCCACTGCGCAAGCTCACGATTAACAAACGCTACAGATGAGTGATAGAGTGATAGTGTACTGGAGACTCGTTACACGATGTACAACAGCAGCTGTAGCAGTATGGTGGGAAGATTATACCTTTCCCATGTGTATCGTCATGTGATCGACAGTTGTCCAGATGTCTTCATATCTGCTCAGTGAGATGGTCATTCACAACAGCAAGCGTAGCCTACTCGGAATTGCTCGGATCGAGCTCCACAGCTCGATTGAGATGCTCCTTAGCCCGTTTCAGGAGGCCTTCATCGTTGCCCTGCGGCGAGACCATCGAGAGGAGAAGAACAGCTAGGTTGGCATGGCATGCGTGTGCATCGGCGTCTACCTACCAGTAACCGTCGCAGACCTTCAACCGAGAATACTTTTGCCCATCTACTCGTACTCACTAAAATATATGTTCCTTATCTACCACACCCTCCACTCATCAAGATATTATACCATTCTGGCAATTCTTGAAAGATATTCCCGAAATCGGTGAGAAATGATTTTCACAGTAAATACTCCAGCATACGAGAGACTGCCTACCTCGACAGCTCGACTATAGCAATGGATCGCCCGATCTATATTCCCCAGTGACTGTTGACAGACTCCTTGTTGGCCATATATATCTGATAGGAGTGTCTTCGCATCGTCATCTGTACGGAAATACTCCTGAAGACTCGTGTTGGCACCTATCAATGAAAGTAGCATACACCGCAGTGTGAAGGGCGGAATACCATTAGAGAGATAACCAAGGGCTTGGTCAAGTACAGTCATGGCCAAGGTAAACTTGTCCTCGCTGCAGAGGTCGAGCTGAAAGAATATCACGTGTATATTATCACTGAATCTCCTTCTAGAAGTATCAGATCTACGGCAACATTGGAACATAGCATTTTTGAAGGGCTTCCAATTTCCCTACAGGCGTATCTCCTTAAGGGTTAGCAATGGTGATGAACCAATTATCAAACCGACATGAGGAAAGTAATATTTCGGAAGTGCCACCAACGGAGAGGGATATCTTACCGCCTCCGTGAAGCACTCATGAGCTTGGTCTAATAGCACGGCGCCAATACTGGCCCCGTCGCCCACTGAGGATGCGGGAGAATCGTCCAGACCAACACCACCACCAAGAGCAGTAGGAATCGGCGTTGAAGTACCAGGAACAGTAGCCGAGGAGGAGGGAGCCGAGTGGCTGAGAACAACCGAGCTATAAAGGACAGAGTCGTCCCGTCGACGGTTCACTTGCTACTGCCAGACGGTCTCCCACCACTTAGAGCCTCCAGCTCTCGGACCCTATCTTTCACGCTACTCCGTCGCTGCCTATCAGCAGGACTCTCATCTGGCTTGTGGTCTTCAAGCTCCTCGTCTTCTACTATCGATTCTCCTTGACCAACTACTCCTACTGGACTGTCGAACGAGTTGTCTCTCCCTGCTGTGATCCACTCATCACAATCGAGAGTTCATTTTGGTCGACCCTGCGCTCACCACCTCTGGTTGATAGAAGTCTCTTAATATCACATAGGCTTTCATCTAGTTGCTTTATAGTAGCTTCATGAGCAGCATTTTGAGTCCGCAGATCGTGGAGCTGACACGAACTCCTCGAGCCTCACTC